GAGAAATAGAATACTTAAGTATTCTTAGAATACTTAGAAAATACTTAGAATACTTAGAAAAAGAAATTGAACATGCCATCCATCAATGAGCTCCCTAAGAAAAATTTGCCAGAACAAGATGTATTTACAAGTGAAATCTACCAAACATTTAAGGAACAATTAATCCTAATATTATATAAACTATTTGAAAAAATCAGTAAAGATCAGGAGTCTTACCAAATTCCTTTTATGATACAAATATGGTGCTGGTACCAAAACCAGGGAAAGCAAAGACAGAGAAAGAAATTCACAGATCAATTTATTTAATGAATGTTGATAGAAAAAAATTAAATAAAATACTAGCAAGGAGATTACAGCAATATATCACAAAGTTCATACACTATGACTAGCTGGGTTCAATATTAGGAAAACTATCAGCATAATTGGCCATATCAATAATAATAACAACAAAAATCATATGATTATATCAATAAATGCAGAAAAAGCCTTTGACAAAATACAACACTCATTTCTATTAAAAACAATAAAAAGCATGGGAATCAATTAAGCCCTTCTTAAGATAAGTAGTATCTATCTAAAACCAAGAACAAGCATTATCTGTAATGAGGATAAACTTGAAGCCTTCCCATTAAGATCAGGAGTGAAGCAAGGATGTCCATTATCATCACTGTTATTCAATATCGCACTAGAAATGCTAAATGTAGGAATAACACAAGAAAAAGAAATTGGAGGCATAAAAATAGGCAACAAGGAAACAAAACCACCATATTTTGCATATGATATGATGATATATTTAGGGAACCCTAGAAAATCAACTAAAAACCTACTTGAACCAATTAATAACTTTAGCAAAGTTGTACGGTATGAAATAAACCCACATAAAGTACAAGCATTTCTCTGTGCTATCAACAAAGCCCAACTGAAAAAGAAAGAGAATTTCCATTCAAAATATCAACAGGTAATATAAAACACTTGAGAGTCTACCTGCCAAGACAAATTCATGGATTATATAAACACAATTTCAAAACACTTTTCACAGAAATAAAGACAGATCTAAATAACTGGAGAAATTCTAATTGCTTATGAGTAGATATAAAAAATATAATAAAAATGGCCATTCTATCTAAGTTAATTTACTTATTCAGTGCCAAACCAATCAAACTACAAAAGAATTATTTTATAGAGTTAAAAAATATAGTAATAAAATTCATACGGAAAAACCAAAGGTCAAGAATATAAAGGGAATCAATAAAAAATGTCAAGGCAGCCTAGCAGTTTCACATTTCAAACTGCTACACAGTGGCAATCATCAAAACAATCTGGTAGTGGCTTAAAAATAGAATAATGGATTATTGGAATAAATTAGGGACACAACATACAGTACTAAAAATCCACAGTAATCTAGTGTTTGATAAACCCAAAGATCCAAGCTTTTGAGGGTAAAACCTTACAAAAATTGTAGGGAAATCTGGAAAGTAATTTGGCAGAAACTAGGCACAGACCAATATCCCTCACCATATACTGAGATAAAATCAAAATGGATAAATGACTTAGACACAAAGGATGATATCATAAGTAAATTAGAGAAGCATGGAAGAATGTCAGACATATGGATGAGAAGAGTTTATGACTAAACAAAGGACTGAGGAGATTATGGAAAATAAAATATGTAATTTTGATTACATGAAAGTAAAAAGCTTTTGTACAAACAAAATGAATGCAGCAGAAGGAAAACAAGAAACTGGTGGGAAAATTCTGCAACAAGTTTCTCTAATAAAGGTCTCCTTTCTCAAACATGTAGGGAATGGAGCCAAATTCATAAAAATAAGAGCCATATCCCAGTTGATAAATGGCCAAAGGATATGAACAAGTCATTTTTGGGAGTAGAACTCAAAGCTATCAATAATCACATGAAAAAATACTCTAAATCATTATTGATTAGGAAAATGCAAATTAAAACAACTCTGAGATACTACCTTATATATATCAGAATGGTTAACATGACAGAAAACAAAAATGACAAATGCTGGAGGAAATGTGGGAAAATGGGGACACTGATGCATTGTTGGTGCAGTTGTGAACTAGTCCAACCATTTTATAGAAAGATATGGAACTACTCTCAAAGGGCTCAAAAACTGTGTATACTCTTTGACCCAGCAATATTTGGATCAAATAAAGGAAAGAAGATCAAAGAAAGAGATCAAAGAAAAGGGGGTGGGGAAGGATCTATTTGTATAAAGATATTTTATAGCAGCTACTTATGTGGTGGAAAAAAAATTGGAAATTGAGGGGTTGCTCATCAAATTGGGAAAGGATGAACAAGTTATGGAATCTGATTGTGATGGAATACTATTGTGCTGTAAGAAATGAGAAGCAGGATGTTTCAGGAAATTCCTGGGAAGACTTATATGAACTCATGTAAAGTGAAATGAGCAGAACCATTGTACACAGTGAGAGAACATTGTACACAGTGAGAGAACATTATACACAGTAACAACAACATTTTAAGAATCAATTGTAAAGACTGAGCTATTCTGACCAAGGCAGTTCCAAAGGACACATAATGAAAAATGCTATCCACCTCCAGAGAGAAAACCGGTGGACTCTTTATGCAGATTGAAACAGATTTTTTTGTTCTCTTTATTTTTATTGTTTTTTGTTGTCTTTTCCAACATGACTAATATGGAAATATGTTTTGTATGACCTCACATGTATAATTAAAATCAAAGTGCTGGCCTTTTCAAGGGGTGTGGCATGAGGGAGGGAGGGAATTTGGAGCTCAAACATTTAAAAAATGATTGTTAAAAATTTTTATGTGTAATTTGGAAATATTGAATGAAATAGAAATATTTTTAAAGTGTGTCATACATATTTAGAGAGACAGAGACACACAGAGAGAGAGAGAGAGAGAGAGAGAGAAAGTCGATCGTTAAACATTTACAGCATACCCCATACTCCTTGGACATATATAGTCCAGTCTTTTATTTTGTAGATGAGGCAAAGAATTCAAAGAGAAGTGGCCAAGCTGGTTCAAGATTAAATAGCTGTTTCATTGCCATGCCTGGAACAAAACCCAGGTGTTGTGACTCCACGTGTAGCACATGGCCTGATTTACTGCACTGGTTAGACCTGCATGCAGTTGTGTGCAGGAAGAATCCTTTCCTAATGCACGACACAGGCATGTACTCTTCTGTCTATTCACATAGCCATATTTCAGGCACTTATCTCCTCTCATCTGGATTTCTGCTATAAACTTCTAATTGACCCCCCTGCCTGAAGTTTATCCTCTCTTCAATCTATTATCCACACAGCTGCCAAATCAATTTCTTTAAAGGACAGATCTAACTATGTCTCTGCTCACTAAACTACTGTGGCTCCCTATTACCTCGAAGACCAAATATAATTTAAGGTTTTTTACAACTTGGCCTCTTCCTACTTTTTGAGGTTTTTTAACATGTTATCAGTCACTCTTTTCAACAAATAACATATACCCTCTGCAAGGTATCTATGAAAAAAAACATATCAGCTCATATAAGAGGTGAGGAAGAGGGGGGCTGAGCTCTTCCCTTTAAAAATCATGATCTCCCCCATTTCTATGATGATTTAAGAATCACCAAGCACTTTGCCTCCAACAGTTCCATTAAGAAAGCAGTGTATTTTTATTCAGTTTTACAGATGAGGAAAGTGAGTCTCAGAAAAGTTGTCCGAAGAAAAGTAGAAGAACCACTAGCTAACTGAATGTAACTGAAAGGCTACATGTCCTTGTCTCTGTCTCCTATAGCCTGGGTCTGTGTTTTCTAGCATTGTGTTAATTTATACAAAGTCCCATTGTTTGGAACATCAGAGAATTGTGGGATTGTGGAACAATAGATAATTTATTTTGAACTAAAAGAGACCCTAGAGCCCATCATATCCATCTGTTCATATATAAATATATATCTATATATGTATGTATGTGTATATATATACATGTGTATACATATACACATATACATATACATACATATCTATGTGTGTGTTTGTTATGTGTGTATCTATCTATCTATATGAACTGAGACACAGTTAGCCAGCACTATCTCCCTGACTTGAAGTCTGAAACCTTACCCACAACTTCAAGACAATTGGGAAAACCCCATTGGGTTTGTTTATCATATCTTCTGTAGCTACTGTAGCTTACCATATCCTCCCCCCTCGCCTCTGCCTGCTGGCTTCCCTGCATTCCTTCAAGGCTCAGCTCAAACATCTTCTTCAGAGGCCTTTCCCATTCCCCTTAGCTGTTAGTATCTTTCCCTCAAGAATTACTTTCCTTCTACTCTATATGCATCTTGTATAAACTTATTAATATATATATGTATATGTATATGTATATATATATATATATGTTGTTTCCTCCATTAGAATGGGAGGGACTAGGGTTATAATGACCAATAGAAAATTCATCTAAGGAGATCAGAGAGGATTAGGGGACAATGGAAATCTTCCCTTCCTCAGCGAGCAGTTGAATGGCCTCCAAAAATCCTGGTACCCCTGGTTAGGACAGCCTTCTCCCTCCTCAGTTTTCCTTGTCCTAATTTTTCCCCTTAGTTTTCCTTGTCCCAATTTATTTGTTTACATGTTGTATTCTCTCTCTCTCTTCCCAGAATGGAAGTTCTTATGGAGTGACTCGTCGTTTTATCCTCAGGACCTAGCACATTGCCTAGTGCATATGAGACTTCTAATAAATGCTTGTTATGTTGGATTGGATTGATATGTCAAGGACCTTGACTTAGTTATTGTGGAGAACTATGCACCTACACAGGTTCAAGCTATTTCTAAGTCATTTCCGAGAATGACCTGAAGCACCTTGCCCAGGGAAGGCAAGACTTGACCCTAGTCTTCTTAAGTCCAAGGCCACCTGTCTCTCCACTATCCCACACTGCCTCTCATTGACTGCACATTTCTCCCTGATTACCTCGATGATCACTACTAAGATACAGACTTACTGGAGAGAGTTCTCTCACCATAGCCTCCTGAAGGATCTTCACAGTCTTGGTGAGCTGTGCTTGGAGGTGGTGTTGGTATGAGCAGGAAGCAAGGCCAGGGTGGTGCCAATCCCAGGGATGGTGATGGTGCCAGCAACAGCAGCAGCGACAGCAGCAGCAACTGGCATGATTGCGCTGGACACCATGGACAGCTGGCTTTGAGTCTACGGTTGGCCGATGTATCCCCAGAGAGCCACTGTCTAGGGAGACCGATTGGGTGAGATGAGGCCGTCTATGTGTACCTGAGCAGCAGCATAAGGCAGGACACAAATTTTGAAATCCAAGTTTGTTTTTTTCTGTTTGAACTGAAGCTTCTTTGGTCTGCCTTTCTCTAGCCCCTACTCCTGGTCCTGATGTGAGAGAAGCCTCAGTCTTAAAGAATTTTGAAGGCATGAGAAGAGGATCTAAAGTATTCTCTCTGGGACCTTCTCCTGAGGTGGAACTGTGGATGCCAGACACCAACTTGGATGGCATCTGAATTGTCACTGATCTGAAACCACTGGAATTTGGTTCAGTGTCCTGGATAAAGTCTCCCACATTTGCACTTGACTTGGAAGATGCTTTACCTGAAGCACTGAGCCCTGGGGTACTCAGAGGCCTACATCCAGCTGCATCATCTGAGTTGGATATAGAAATTTTAGAACCTTCATCAAGGCTATCTAATGAGAGAGTGACTTCACTCTGTATGGGAAATCCCTGCCTTGGTGTTGTCAACATCTCATTTTCTAATGAGGATCCCAACCTGCTTAAGTCAGGGTCCCATTGGCCAGCCTGCCCATTTCTTGGTACTTCAGAAGCAGATTGACAGTTATCAATATGAATTGATGCACTTTTATCACACACACTTCCCATGATGCTAGGAGACCTTCCCATGAACATTGCCTTAGGCCCTTCTGCCTCTAGGCAGTCTGTTTTGACTTCTACTGTATGGGCTACAGTAAATCCCACAGGATAGTCATATCTGGAAGTGATGGTGCCTCCATCCACCTCATAGTTAGTTTTCAGACTTGTAGGGAAATTCCATGTGGGATTGTCTTTCCTCTCCAGATCTTCAACAATGGGGGTCTCCTTGTGGGGTCCCTCCTGGGTTAAATTTTCTGCTAATAGAGATTCATCCTCTTCCACACAGGCAAATATCTTTTCTTCCTGGTCACTTTTGCCTTGGTTCAGAATAGGCAAATTCAGAATGCATTGGGAGGCATCTTCATTTGGTTCTTGTAGATGGCACTGGGATGGTCCCAGGGAGGGAATCTGAGCTTCTTGCCTTCCGCAAATAAGACTCTCATAGGTCAACAAGGGAGAAATCTGTATGAGAGACCAGGGGAAAGGCGAATGAGATTAGGAGTCTCCATATGGGCGAGCTCTAAAAAGCGCCATGACTCTAAAGTTTCATCTTCAAGAAGTAGAAAGATAATGTTTCCTTCCAGTCCCCTTCTATACTGATTTCTCTTTAGGGGATTCAACTCCATTTATAAAATCAACAGATGGATAAATTGATAGATAATTTATTGAACTCTTAGCTTGTGCCAGGAACTGTACTAAGTGTTATTGATAATAATAATAGCAACAATATTAATAATAATAATGCTGTGCGAGGAATAGCAAGGAGGGCCAGTGTCACTGGTCACAGAGTATGGGGGGTTAGGAAGGTCAGAAGAAGGCAGATTATGGAGGATTTTGAACACCAAATAGGATTTTAGATTGTATCCTGTTGGTGATTGGGAGCCACTGGAGTTGACTGGCTAAGTGTGCGTGTGGCAGGTTGTGGGGAGTGAGTGACGAGATCAGACCTGCACTTTAGGAATATTGATTTGAGAGCTTAGTGCAGGCTAGATTGCAATAGGGAGAGAGAATGTACCAGGCAGACCCACCAATGTGCTAGTGAAATAGTTCAGATGCAAGATGATGAGGGCCTGGAGCAGAACTGTAGGAATGTTATAAAGAACAGGGCATATGGAAGCCATGTCACGAAGGTGTAATCCACAGCCCTTGGCAGCAGATGGGAGATGGGAGCGTGTAAAAAAGAACAAGGAGTTAAGGATGACACCTAGGGTACAAGCTTGAGAAACTGAGAGGTTCAGGAACTCTCCACCGTACTTGGGAAGTTAGGACCTGGAGAACTGGGAAGGAAAGAAAATGAGTTGTTTGGGACATGTTGAGTTTAAGATGTTTACAGGACATCCAGCCTAAGACATCCAATAGGCAGCTAGATAACTAAGACTGGAGGTCAAGAGAGGGGTAAAGGTTAGACAAGTAGATCTGGGAATCAACAGCATAGAAATGCTCATTGAACTGATTAAAGCTGATGAGATCACCAAGCAAAATAGTATAGAGGGAGAAGAGAAGAGGGCATGGGATAGAATCCTGTGGGTCACCCATGGTTAATGGGTATGACCTAGATAATGATCCAGCAAAGGAGGCTGAGAAGGAACAGTCAGAGAGGTAGGGGCAGAACCAGAAGGGAGTAGTGTCATGAAAACGCAGAGAGGAGAAAGTGTCAAAGGCTGTGGAGTGATAAAGAAGGAACAGGACTGAGAAAAGGCTCTTGAATTTGACAATTAAGAGATCATTGGTCATTTTGGATAGAAAAGTTTCAGTTTGATGATGAGGTTGCAACCCAGACTACCAAGGGTTAAGCAGAAAGAGAGAAAGGAAATGGAGGCATGCTCAGAGGGTTTATTCACAAAACGGAGGAGATGTAGACAATGCTAGCAGGAATCAAGGGAGAGTATTTTTGAGGATGGGAGAGACATGTACATGTTTTTAGGCATGAAGTAGCCTAGACAAGTAGAGATTGAAGATAAGTGAAAGGGTGAGGATGGCTAGGCAAGAGGGGACAGCTCAGGCTCACTTGTGCAAGTAGAGGGCTTAGGCTTGCCAAAGAGAAGGGCCACCTCTTCATGTGACATGGGGTGAGGAAGGAGATAGTGGCAGAAGGCTAATCAGTGATGTGAAATGAGGAAGGGGAAGAAAAGGGAATTCCTAGCAACCAGCCTTCGTTTTCCCAGTGAAATCCAAGGCAAGGTCCTCAGGTGAGATGATGTGGGGCCAGGGAGCCATGAGTGGTTGGAGGATGGATGGAAAGGTTTAGGAGAGAAACCATGTCAGGTGGCCTAGTGAATTGATTATGGAGCTGCCTAAGGATTGCTTTATTTCTGGAAGTACCCAGTTGAAGCTAAATGACATCCATTTGCAGTGAATCCAGTCAGCAGGGCTTTGTCCTTTTTTCCAGCTTTATTCTATACTGTGTGGGCAGGAGCAAGGGTAGTAGATGTGGGGAGACCTCGCAGGACAAGACCAGTGATGGGATAAGGGGGCAGGGGACTGCAGAGAAGAGGACAGAGTTGTACTGAACTGGTTCATCAAAGGGTCAGGATAATAATCGTAATAATAGCTGACATTTATGTGATGTTTTAGGGTTTGGAAAGCGGTTTGCCTATGGGTGATGGTCTAGGAAAGAATTCAGGGGTACAAAGATCAGAGGTCCCAGTGTGAGCAAAGACTAGGGTTTAGGGTTGTACCTCAGAGAAGTAGAATGCTAACAGATTGTGGTCAGATTCTCAGAGTTCCTGAACATGGAAGTGATGCATTTGTGGGTGATGGCAAAATCAAGGGTATGCCCGTCTCTGCAGTAGCTGTAGAGGTGCAGAGGAATAGGTCATAAGAAAGAGAGAGGTTAAGGAATTGGGAGGTTAGGTTGTTTGAAGGATGTAGTTGTCCCTTAGTATGAGGGCAGGAGTTAGGGTCAGAAGCAGCCTAGCTGTCAGGAGAGCCGAAGCCAGGCCTGAGATAAGTAGACTTGGAAATGGAGGCAGCTCCTGCCTCAGACAAGAAGGAGCCCTCTTTCTTCTATGTTACTGGCTATAGCTGAAGCCAGTCTCCCAGTAAGGTCAGCTTGGGCCTGCCCTCAAGTGAGAATGACTGAATTCTATTTAGGCAATGCCAAATAGTCTGGCCAATCTGAAGTGAGAAATGTGCATTAATAATAAGTGAGGTTTGGCCTGGGACTGAGCATTTCACCCACCCAAAGAATGACAGATACCTGTAGAGGGAAGGGCTCGGGAAGTTCCTCCAGGAACCCACTGCTGTCTGACTGGCAGCTGCTGGCTCTTGTCACCCCATCACCTAGGAGACAGAACAGATGGCCATGAGCTTAGAGGTCAAGGCAAAAAGGAGTTTGCCAACACTTCTGGACCTGAGCAAAGGGCACTTGAGACTTTTCCCCCAAACCTGAGAATCATGTAAGGGCATTGCTAGGTGCTCAATGTTAGCGACCAAACCAAAAAGCTGTTTCATGAGCATGAATCAAAAATTACACTAAAGGGCTCAAAAATTCATTTGGGGTCCCTGAATTTGTATTTCTATATTAATATGTAATAATATAATACATGATAGAATATATATGCAATAATGTATTATGTATTATGTATTTTATAATATATATCATTCTCTATTTCTCTCTATATATACATTCTCTGTGTGTATATGTGTATGTATATATATATATACAGGTAAAGATAGACTGATGTAGCTATATATAGATATAAGGATACATATTAGTATTTTACTATTCTTAGTTTCCTTGTATTTTGGTATTCCTATATGTTTTTTTTATGAATTTGAGAACATTATTTTGAGAAGGGGTCCATAGGCTTCATCAGACTGTCAAAGAGGTCTATAAGAGGGAAAAGGTAAAGAACCCCTGGTCTAAGGGGACCCAGGAGATGAAAAAGGCCTGTCAGTGCCCACACTGCCATACCCAATTAGCAAGCATTTATTAAGTCCCTACCAAGGCAGTGTGGCTTTAGTGGATAGAGTGCCAGACTAAGAGTCAGAGAGACTTGAGTCTGAATCCCACCTCATAGACTTAATAGGTTGTGTCATTTAACTTCTCCAGGAATTAGTTTCCCTATATGTAAAATGGAAGAGGGTGCTTGTTGACTTTCAAGATCTCTTCCAGTCCTAAGTCTATGATACTGCTGAGCCAGGTACTGTGTTAAGCAGAAGGGACAAGGTCATCTTGCCCTTTAGGAGCTTACACTCTACTAGGGAGACACAGCCAGTTCATGGATCAATACACAGGGAAAGGACTAATTAGTCAAGAGGAGATGCCTGGGGGCGGGGACTAGGCAATTGGCTCATTATCCATTGGACCTACTCCACGTAAAGTCAGAGTTCTTAACCTTTTAAGTCCCTGGACCCTTTCGGCAGTCTGGTCTAGCCAATGGGCCCCTTCTTAGAATAATGTTTTTAAATGTATAAAATAAAATACAGAAGATTACAAAGGAAAGTTATTACATTGAAAGATGGTTATCCACATTGGTGAAAAGATCATGGGCCCCCAATTAAGAACTCTGCTCTGGATGATCTCTAAGTTTGCTCCTGGCTCTAAATGCAGTGATCTAATATCTCTGACTTGTCCATGGTAACTCATAACAGCTAGTATTTGGAAAGTGCTGGTTAAGACCTCCTCGTCTCCAATGAACTGGGTTTATTTCCATGTGGAAGATGTATATTAGCATAGGATCACATCCTGGGAATTGCAAGGGAGCTTTGATATCTTCTAGTCCAATGCTTTCATTTTACAAAAGAGGAAACTGAGGCTAAGAAGATCCAGGACTTGGTCAGGGTCATAGGGTTGTGTGTGTGTGTGGGGGGGAGAAGTTCTGGTATTCAAACCCAGGCCCCTGACCCCAAATCTATTTCTATGGCACCATGATGCTGCCTTTTTAATATTCAATACATTGTATTCCTAATTGAAGGAATGCTAAATTCCAGTTAGAGCTCACCTTCTTGGGAGTTATTCCTGTGAGAAATGCATTTCTGCCGCACCCCAGGCCTTTCCTCATGTCCCCAGGCACTCTAAACCTGATCCTACCCTGATCTGTCTCCAAGAGACCCAAACCCTTATCCCTTGGTTTCCCTTACGTTCTGGACAGCTGCCCCCCCAACTGCCCTTGAAGAGGAACAAGAGCCCTGGCATCTTGGCAGGATGGCCAGCAGGTGGCAGCAGCAGATAGCCCACAGAGCCAGAGCAGCCAGGACCCACACACAGCCCGGGCAGCTAGCCAAAGGTGTGTCCAGCCTGAACAGAAACTGTGCTCAGAGGACCCAGAGCTCTGAGAGATGGAGGGAACCCCAGGGGTAATTGAGTGTGAGCCCCTTGTTTACAGAGGAGGAAATCAAGGCCCAGGGAGAGACACAGACAGAGACAGAGACAGACAGATACAGAGACAGAGAGAGATACAGAGAGAGGCAGAGACAGAGATAGACTGAGACAGAGAGAGATAGAGAGAGACAGAGACAGAGAGAGATACAGAGAGAGGCAGAGACACAGAGACAGAGATAGAGACAGATAGAGATAGAGACACAGATAAAGAGACAGAGACACAGATAGAGACAGAGATAGACAGATACAGAGAGAGACAGAGACAGACAGAGATAGAGACAGAGATAGACAGAGACAGAAAGTATCAACTAACACCTAAAAGAAGGCTCTGAGTCACTAACAATGAGAGAAGAGTAAATTAAAACAACTCTGAGGTTTCATCTCATACAGAGCAAACTGGAAAGAACAATCAAAGATGGAAACCATCACTGCTGATGAGGAAGATAGGTGCTAGTTGGCGCTGGACTTGGAGTCAAGATGACTTGAGTTCAAATCCTGCCTAGCTATGTGACCCTGGGCAAGTCACTTAACCTCTCTCTACCTCATTTTCTTCATCTGTAAAATTGATGATAGGTTGTCATGAGGACCAAAATGAGATAATATACAGAAAGTTCTTGGTAAACTTGAAAGCATTATATAAATGCTGGCTACTTTTATTCTAAAAACAATTTGGAATTATATATAAGAAGTCACTAACTTCATATCATTTGACCAAGTGAGTCCATCGCTAGGCCCCACTCAATAAGCAAAGCATGAGGAATCCAAATGTAATACAAAAATGAAGTGGTCCCTGCCCCCTGAAGCTTACATGCTAGGAGGGCAGGGGTCTCCAGCCTGGGGTGCGCAAACCAAGGGATATATGGAGAGATTACAGGGGGTCTTGGATAACTTGAGTGGGAAAAAAATTATGTTTCTATTTCTACTACCTTCTAACTGAAATTTAGCATTTCTTTTCATTAAGAATGTGGCCAACCAAAATTCTCGAGAGGAGGGGCCCACTGCTTCACCAGCCTGCCCAAAGGGTCCAGCATACAAAGAAGGTGAAGGTCAAGATTTATCAGGGCAAGGTGGGCAGAGAAGGGAGCTTTGGTCTAGACAGTCATAGGGAATGAGAGTGGAGACAGTGGTAGCAAAGCTAATATTGGTTTGATGATTGATCCCCCAGCAAAGGATGGAAAGCAGCAGGCTGGACGGCAAGATGCCCGTGCTGGCCAGGCTGAGGCATCCTGGGAGCTGCCTGGATGGGATGAAGCATTGCCTGGGGCTCTGGGGCTGGCTAGATAAGACAGAAAGAAATGGCCCCCCCCTCAGCAAAATATTCATAGCAGCACTTTTGGTGGCTGAATCCCATCAACTGAGAATGATGGACAAACTGGTTTAGGAATACAATGGAAAAATAGCCAATAGCAAGAATTCAAAGAAAAGAATAAGAACACCAAATACAATAACTATAATAATGTAAATAAAAACACCGCTAGAAAGCCTTGAATTGTTGGCTAATTATAATCACCGATTTCTGACCTGAACATAGATAATAGCAGCATCACAGGAGCACAAGTTTAGAGCTGGAAGAAACCACAGAGACCATCAAGTCCAGCCCCCTTTTATAGATAGGGAAACTGAGGCTAAGATATAGTAAATGACCTGACTAGTAAGTAACAGAAGCAGGAGTTGGAACTCAGAACTTGCCTGGCTCCAAGACACTGAGCCACACAATTTCTTCAGTAACAACAGTGGAGCCGTTCCATTTGGATTCTATGACTTCTTTGACCTCTCAGCCACTTTAGACACTATTGACTCCACCCTCTTCCTTGACACATTAGCCTCTCTAGGCTTCCATGACCTTACATTCCGCTGGCTCTCCTCCTTCCCTCCCTCTGACCACTCCTTTACTTAACCTGAATGAAAATCCATCTCCTTCCTGGTTAGCATCAGTTTCCCCCAGAGCTGGGGCCCAGTCCCCCTTGACTCCTCTCTCGTGGCCTCCTGTTCTGATATACATTCAAGCACCATTTCTAGAATGATTCTCAAGTGTATATGTCCTGTCCTAATCTGAACTCTGCTGTCTGCTTTAGGCCTCTGCTGGATACTCCTGAGGCATCTCCAACTTACCCATGTCCACATTAGAACCCATTATCCCTCACACTAAACTGGTCTCTCCTAGAAACTTCCCTATTTCCGCTGTAGGCACCCTCCAGCTTCTACCCACCTTGGTTTATAACCTAGAAATCATCACCCTTGACTCCCTCCTGTCTTTTACACCTTGTGTAATCATTCACCAAGTCTAATAGATTCTGACTGAGTCATCTCACAGAATCCAGGCATCATACCAAATTACTCCCTGCCATTGATAGCTGAGAGTTTCCTATATAGTTTCAGGCAGTTACATTGAAAATGGCGTGCTAGGTACCATGTAGAGAATTGATGTGTGAAGACTTGTGTTCAAATACCATTTCTATTATTTATTGGGTAACAAAAGAATAGATTTAGACCTGGAAATCAGTCAGTCAACAAACATTTATTAAGCACCTATTATGTGCCAGGCACTATGCTTGGTTGCATTGAGGATACAAAGAAAAGCAAAAACAGTCCCTGCCCTCAAAAAGCTTACATTGTAAAGGGAGAAAGGATCTTAGAAGACAGCTGGTACAGCTCTCCCATTTTACAGATGAGGAAATTAAGGCTCAAACAAGATGAATGACTTGCCCAAGTTCACACAACTAGTAAGTATCAGATAGTTGAACTCAGGTCTTCCTGCCTCCATCATCACCATTCTAGTCTTTACACCACTCACCATCTACTTAAGAGATGTATTAGCTTGGACTAGTCACTTTCCTTTCTGGGCCTCTGTTTGGTTCATTGAAAAGATGAGATTGAACTAAATGACTGAACTAAAGTTTAGCTCCAGATCCTCTGATCTGTATTCCAAAGATTTCAAATATTTCGTCTTACTTTA